TTCGTCCAGCGCTCCTCGAAGGGGTGGAGAATGATGCATCGATCGCAGTAGTACAGGTGATCGCCGACCGTGGGATCTCTCTCCATCAGCTGCAGCAGAGCGGTCCGTTCCATCGTCTTCAGCCGGAACTTCTCCCCTGGAGCGGGTCCTACCAGGGTGTATGCTGTCTTGCATGATAGCGAGAAAGCGGCCCGGGAAGGATTGTTCAAGAACTTGGAGATGAGCAGTATGATCTCAGTCGGTTGGTCAAAGAGTTTGCATGTTTGGATGATTCGTTCCTTCTGGTTCTGGCTCTGAGAGGGCCGTGGGCGACGCGCGATGGCTTGGGGAGCTCCCTTTGCCTGCTTGTTCAGGAGAAGTGGCGATTTAATGTGCACAACAGTCGTCTGGGGGCCTTCTGGGCCCGCAGATCGCTGAAGACCCTTGCCAGAGAAACCAAGAGCTGGTAGAACCTGAACCATATTCAAATCGATGAGGTGTATTCGAAGTTTGACGAAAAGACAAGATGATTTTAAAATTTACATTCAGGTTGACGGTGAATGGAATTAAATATCAACAAAGCTTTACTTGTCATTTTGAATCAACTCCTGAATCTGTTTTTAATGACCATTACTCGGTATCCTGGGGGGGCATGCCACAGCATCGGGTAAAATCGCATCAGCTCACTCTGGCACCAGCGTGATGGTGGAATCACCCCATCATCATAATATGCCAGCACCAAGCAGTCTCCCTACATTTCCCGATGCCTAAGCTCGCACGGTGAGTGTATGATGTCTGACGCCTTATTTATTAACTGATCAACGCCATGTGTCCAAATTCCCGTCCTCCTGACCGGGGGTGCTCCCCCTTCCACCTATAGTGAGCCGCGTCTCGGTTAATAATCAATGCGGAATACGCCCCTATATGCATAAGATACGGGCATTATTCTGCTTGTTTAAACTTCCCAGCAGCAGTGTCATGTCATGCTTTGCCAGCGTTTCCTGCAATTGCGCCCCCTACTCTCTTGACCTCGGAAATTCCGAATGTCGCTATAAGCCCGGCCAGAATAATAATACCGTGTCATTATGTAGCATTTCTGACCGCTGTCATCAGGCATCATTGATAATTAGTCATCCAAGGTGAAACCACACATGGTCTTTTCGACACTGCATGGTAGCCATGATAGGTCATGTTCAAAAAAGCGGTATGCAGGCTTGATCGTCCATTCTCAAAGGAAGCATCAACTGGCGAGACTACTAAGCCGCATTCTCACATTATGATCAGCTATCACTCCCCATATACCCATAGCAATTCAGGTTATTGGCACCTTGTTAAGGTGAAGAATTGTTGAGTTGTGGCTCTATCACCACCCAACAATGAAACTCAGTCCAGATAATATGAAACTCAGGTTCACATAGTTTCATATATCAAGTACTAAATCATCCTAAATCATATTAGCCCTTTGACATACCTGTCAATCGCCTCGGCTCCTGATATGTTAAGAATCGTTGGTCCTCTGCCACGTTAATCTAGTAGACTTCTTGTTCGAAATAGGACGTATGAAAATTCCAAGTCTGCTCTCACATCATCTAGCTAGATAGCTCCCTGAACAGACTCCTTGCTAATCTTGGTACCAGACCGCCTGGCATCAAGGATCTGAGATCTCCTGCTGCGGAAGCTGCGGAACAAGTGGGCCACCCAAGATCATCATCTACCTTAAGCGAGGTCATCTTACTATGCCGCGCCTCCAGACTGTGGTCTTCCATCTATTTGTCTATATTTATGTTTATTTTTTGGGGGTCATAAGAAAGGGATATCCAAAGACCAGGCTACACGTGGCTAGCAGTACCTAAAGTTTATCTTCAGCGCAAACTCTCGGACCTAAAACACACAGAGAAAAAAACAAGTAAAGGTTAAACATACGACCTGGGCACAGGCATCAGCGCCTCCAAAACTCTAATAAGGGCTGGGTCGATAGGGCAAATTGGTTTTGAGTCAGAGAGCAGAATTAGAATTCTACTGGGATTCTCAAGCAGGAACAGGGGTTGCCGACACATTTAAGGCAAATTTGAAGAGTCATCAGCCCTCAACTCGACCGAATCAGCCGGCAATTTCCCCACCCCACCCGCACCGTATGATCATCGTGCGCCTCAATTTACTTTACCCCTTGGGTTTCTTCTTCTAGGACAGCACACAAACACAAGGAACCATCATCACCATCTATCATGTTTCAGTGGGCAAAGCAGCAGTAAGTGGCTCATTCAGGTGACATACATCATTATTTTTACGCTGACTGTGTCCAAGGTTGGCCAACGTGGCCGGCACCCAGGAACCAATCTGGGGACCTTCGGCCATCAAGCCTGTCTCTGAAGAAGATGCGCCTGGTGGCTACACCGAACTTTCGCGTGACAGTCTGACATGGAAGGAGCTCGACTACACCAATGTCGAGAGCCAGACGTTCTACTTTGTCGCGGACAGCGGTCGCCTTGCCTGGGTGCAGGTGCTCTACAGCAACGTCATGTAGGCATACCCATATCCTGTGCCTGTACGCTCGTCTGAACGTTGCATTCTCCTAACATTTCATTCTCAGCGGTATCGCAATTAGCGGCCATCTGAACATCAAAATTTACTCCCAGGATCCCTCCAAGCCTCATTTCTGGTCCTCGCTGGCAATCAATGACATACGCTTCAGCGAGGATAAGACTGCAATTTATGCCGAGGGGCTCTCTATAGAGCTCTCCGAGGACGGAAAATCTTACAGGATTGAGACCTCCGTCGGCGAGGGGACAGCTGTGGACCTCACCGTCACGCGGGTTTCGCCCGGCTTCCAGGTTGGCAAGGATGGATCAACTCTCTATGGGACCGATCTTGAAAATCCATGGGGATCGATGAGACACGCTTACTGGCCGCGTTGCGTCGCCGAGGGCACCATCACCATCGATGAGGAGGGCCCGGTTGACTTCAAGGGTCAGTCCATGTTCGTCTATGCTCTTCAGGGCATGAAGCCTCATCACGCCGCTGGGAAGTGGAACTTTGCCTACTTCCAGGGACCCAATCATTCAGCGGTCATGATGGAGTTTACCACGCCACCCTCGTATGGATCTACCGTGGTAAATGTGGGTGGAATCACCAAGGGCGACACAATTATGTTCGCCGGGTCTAGTAATGCAGTTGTCCATGTAAAAACCGAGCAGGATCCTGACAATGACTGGCCGGAACCAACACGTGTCGGTTTCTCTTGGAAAGGTAAAGACAAAGACGACAACCAAGTTGAAGCAAATTTGGAAGACGATCTGGGGGCAAGACTGGATCGAATCGACATCATGGCTGAACTACCTGCCTTTGTCAAATCAATCTTAGCTACCGCTGTCGGATTAAAGCCGTATTGTTACCAAGTAAGTTGGCCCATCATCAGGATCGTTCTTTTACAATCATCTAACATTTACAGTACGCCACAAAAGCCACTCTCAGAATTAAGGTCGGTGATCAGGAGATTGTCGAGGAGGGGCAGCTTATGACAGAAGCAACTTTCATCTGTCTGTAGAGCTCCCGGGGTTTTAATATTAATATAAATCGCTACTCCAGTTAAACTAATAGTAATAATATCGATTTATTCCCAGAACGTCCATCGTCTCCGGTCAATTCTGGGCACTTGTAATCCAGTCTAGTGGCAGTTGACTCTCGTATTAGAGTCGTCACGAGGTGTGTATGGCCATGTTGCTGCCCAGGTAAAACTGGGTCACACTCAAGTTCCGGCAAGTAATACGACGCAAAAACATTCCAGTCACTTTATACTTTCAGCATGAGGGCAACGCCTCCAGTTAGTAGTTCCCGAGCCGTTGCATTCGGACTAGTAAGACCTGCTTCGGTCTCTAGCAGCTCTGTCCCAAAAGTACCGTGTCGACACTAGACTGCTAGAAGGTTGTTCTACGTCATGGTTCAGCTCCTCCATGCGGGCGAATAGACTTTAAGCGATAACCACCAGCAGTCTCTCCATCAAGCCTGACGGGTAGAATCCGTAGCAGCCGATGAGAAGATGTTTTCCCACGTGGGTACGATACGAGATATCCAATCGGGAGCTGCCATGTCATGTACGATCGCGATGCTGTATCCGGCGGCGCCCCATCAGGTCCAGGGGCACTTCATCCTGAGCCACTAACAGAACCTGCATTTTATGGGGTATTTTCGTTTGTAGAATAGACCAACTCCCAGAGTCTGGATTGGGGCTAGCAAGCTGAGGCAATGGGGCGATAACATATCTTCAAGCTAAATGTCTCGTATTTTCAGCCTCTCATGGTACACGGTGGTGGAGAAAAAACCGCAGACAGCCGTGAGCATCATGTCACAGACAAGGGTGATGATCAATCAGAGTTATGTCGGTCATGAGTGGATAAAGAGGTTGCACTACTGCAAAATGCATTTGCCGATAAACAAGGGTTGAGGACGAAAGCAGGTTCTTGTCTGGTGTGTGGTTGAAAGCTCCGTAAAAAGTGATGCGATCTGTATGTGGTAAGATAACAGAGATGATGTCCCTCCTTCTTCTAAAGTCTCTAAACAATTCAGGTGGGAGAGATCACCTCATACACTGGAACAGCCTCATCACGACTGGCATCATGAGCAGGTGTCTAGATCATTAACTCAAGGCTCGACATGCTTCTCGTGTATTTCGATGGAATGTACAGTTTTTTGACATGACAAATGCCTGCCTGAGACGTCGATTTCGGATATCTTGGCCGATGTGGCAGGCAGATCTCCCCACCCTCGAACCCACAACACCGCATCTAGCACCTTGGCAAGTCACCGAGATACGAGCAAACAGAAAGGTTCCTGTGAAAATATCTGGGTCAATGACGTTCGCTTGAAGAATTTTTATCCCTCTGCGTTCTATATAAAAATGACCAAGAGCTCTTTCTTTCCAATCAACCATTGCAATTTATACAGGTCTTCTCTCGTTTCAAGATCTCACTCGTTTCAGTTTGCCACTCGCTTCAACAGATAAACGATACAAAATAAATTTCAAGATGCGTGCCGGAATTCTTGGAGTGCTCGCAGGCAGCGTCAACCTGGCGCTGGCCACCAAGTTCTGGACCAACTCCAGTGTCCCAGTCATAACTCCGTCTACTACCTGGACCACTGAGGTTGTTACAGCCTTGACAACATTCTGCCCAGCACCTACTACCGTCACATACAACGACCAGACATACACAATTACCTCTGCCACTACTCTCACCGTCACCAACTGCCCCTGCACAATCAGCCGACCTGTTACAACCATCCCACCCCCGGCCACTACCACCAAGGTCATCACAGCCATCACCACATATTGTCCAGAGCCAACAACTCTCACGTATCCTCACACGACAATCACTGTCACCAGCCCAACCACTCTTACCATCCCCGTCAAGCCTACTACTCTCACCATCCCCATCCAGCCTACTACAAGCACCTCGGCTCAGCCCAGCAGCGGCTGTGTCGACACCTGCAATGATGCTTATAACAAGTGTCGTGGCCAGCCCGGTGCCAACCGCTCAACCTGCGCAGCCCAGTACGCCAGCTGTCTTGGCTACAGTCCATTTGCTGGAAACGGAACCCTCATTACCCCAACTGCCTGCTCTCAGGCTCCTGTACAGACCAGCAGCGGCTTCCTTAGCAGTGCCGTCACGACAACCACCACCGTTGTCACTGCCATCACCACCTACTGCCCGGTCCCCACAACTCTGACCTACAACAGCCAGACCTACACTGTCACGGAGCCGACTACGCTCACAATCACCAACTGCCCATGCACGGTCGTAACCACCAAGCCTGTCGTACCAACCGGCCCCGCGACAAGCAACGGTCCCTTCCGACCCAGCAGTGTCGGTAGCTCAAACCCAAGCGGCTCCACGCAGCAGCAGCAGCCTGCGGTTTCTGGATCTCAGACCAGTGCCGGTGGTTCGAACCCAAGCGTTTCCACTCAGCAGCAGCAACAGCCTGCAGTTTCTGGGTCTCAGACCAGCGCTGGCTCGCCTGCAAACCCTACCAACACGCCCACCTCGGGCAACTCTCCCGCTCAGACTACTGCCGTTCCCGCTGGCGCGGGATCAGTCGGCCCAGCCAAGGTTCTATTGGCCATCGGTGTCGTTGCTCTGCTCTAAATGACATTTATGGTTATTTCTCTTCCTAATATTAGTCGCCAATTTCTACTGTTTATTCAAATGAGAGTTGAACTTGTACTGCATGACATAATTAATAAGTCAGGGATCTTGCAGTGTTGGCGGTGTCAGTGTTGCTACTCCGGAACTATGAGAACTCAATACTACTAAGTCATGTAAGCGGCAGCGATTTTAAATAGAGGACGAAAATGAAGAGAATTTAACCAAATGAATGCATCCCATGAGATTAACAAAGGTTGTGATGTGATAAGTGTAGTACTCCGAAGATTGGCGACAACTGAGGACGATATTTTGAGCCTGCATGCCTAAACGAGTGGCAAGCTTACTATGTATTGTTTTTTTTTGCCGTAAACAAGGGTGTATCCTCACATTGACTAATCATGGAACTTTTTTACAGCTAAGTTTCCAGGACACGATAACCTTTTCCAGAAACTTTTCCGAAATATCGCCCAAACTCCGAAAACCCAGTCATCCCAACATAATCGTGCGAACATAAAGCTTAAACGAGCGCCGCCTCCCCCCGGATGACCTTAACGTAGTACATGACGTGCTAATACTAAAGGTTGTAGGTAGGATTATGAGAGGCACGCACAACAAGGTCGTCGTCACCAAGGTTAAGCTGCTCATCTGGCCGTTTCTTGTCCCTAACAAGTGCCTCATGCAGCACCTGGTCGTCTTTGCAATAGAGAGACAAACCCAGCAGATGCAGCTGCTGAATTTGGTCTGTTGCGAGCGGCTTCGTCGCCGCGAGGTGCCCTCGATCAAATTGATCGGAGGCTTGAGAATTTGATGTGGTCAAATTTCCGAGATTAGTAATGCAGACTCGATATCAACCTCATGCCCATTCCATAACAGGAAATTATGTCACACAGTGGCTTACTGTGTATAAACTTATTATTTTTTTCTTTTCTTGAATTCTCTTCTAGGCACCAATTTAACGTCAGAGTGTGAGTTGGAATATCCACTGCAAGTGGAGTTAGAACTTAGAACTCGGTTGAACTCGACCTCTTCAGTCCTCAGAGTGGAAAGTGCTCCATTTACGAATCCTTCAATATCTCCTAATAGGTTTGGCTTGGCCATTCATCTACCGTATGAGCCACGCGGGTACCAGTGCCGGGCCTGGTTGAGTGGGAACCGTGCTACAGCCGGGTCGTCTCGGCGATAATTAACACTTAAATAGCTGGTCCCATGCTGATTAAGTGAGCCAAAGCGCGAGTACCGACTGGAAATTTGGTGATGATCTCGGAACTCGCAAAAGGAGTCCTCCCAGTAGTTCGGTCTAAGCGTAACCCGGGAATGGCATAGTTACCGCGGAGAAAGAAGGCTGAGCATGTTTGAATGGTGGGGAGAAGGATTCCGTCAGACAAGACGGCGACTTCGCCCCAAACTACTAAATCCGGAGTCAGACTATTTCCCAGAGAGGCCAGGAGTAAGATCTTTGGCTACGCCTTGTGGGTCAAGGCCATGGGTACATGGTTTCTCCCGGGTCGCCTTTGAGGTAACAGAGACCTTCGAAACCTACGATGAAGTCATGCATAGCGTGTCGCCAGCTCCGTGGCTACCTTATTATTCGACAGTCCATTAAGGCGTGCCGACAAAATCCCGGCACCGGGCCTGTGATTGGCAAAACCCGGGGCTTTTAGGTGATGAAATCCGAAACAGGCTCTCGCCGGGCGATCCTGATTTGCTTCATGGTATCCTTACATGGGAAACCTGTCACCTAACGGGTACCGTACCAAAGTTCAAACTAAATGCCCTCTCGCCGACCAATTGGTCACGCCGTCTATACGCGAGCAGATATATTAGGCTTTGGAAAAGGATCCTGGGCCAGGCCCCTCGGCACTGGCCTGGCGATGCACAGCCAGCATGGCGGTCAATACACACTGCCGTGACAAATTGGATGGCAGACCAATCAGAGGTGCGATGTGCAAGAAAAAAGCCCGCGAGTCACGCATGCATTGGCCATCAAAGGGACTTCAGTGGCAGCTGAATGCTCCTGCTCCCATGAGATGGGTCCTTATGCGAGTCGATCCTCAGGAGTCAGACATGCCACAGCGTCTGTCAAAATACTTGTCGAGTCTGATGTGGACAATTCTAGAGTGAACGGGGTTGTTATTATCGCAGAAGCTATCAAACTTTGTAAGAGAGGACCGTCTTCAACAGGCAGGCCTAGTTCAGCCTTGATACTGGAACTCAATTTAATATTATATTTGACCTCTTTACGCGCCACGTGATGTGTATCTGAACCCTCTTCTGCTAGATGATCGGGCAATTAGCACATGGTTGACGCATCCGAGGCTACCAGAGCCGTGGCCAAGTGCATATATATCATTCTTGGCATGCAGACCCGGCGGTCTGTCCCAAAGGCCTCTAATTTCCCAGAGGCCTTTTGCATCCCTTCTTCAAATTGCCATTTAGCTTTCTTTCCCCATCTCGCCTGCCCTTCTTGTCCCACTCTACCTTCCCTCTAACGACATCTCAGACTCCCATCCAAGGAAGCCCCTTCCGCTGCCTAACCCACATGCCGATCTTGTCTGCACTCCCTCCCTCCAGTCCTCACTCTGTCCTCTTTGTCTTGGCTCTCCCACATTCCCGCCCCTCTCTGTCTCTTGTTTTGAATCGTTGAGTCCTGGCACCTTCAACCACAAAGCTCAACCTTTCACCATGCATCTCCCGTTAGGGGAGCCCAAGGCTGGGTCACGCATCCAAATCTTCAGCCGGAAACATAGAATCATCGTTTGCATTGCCGGACTCTTTTTGCTTTCCACCATCATATTCTACCTACCTTTTGAGAGAAGATCATACCTCAAACACTTACTGCTCCCCCCTACTCGATATACCAAGTGCAGGCTCGAGGAGCCCAGCGCTCATACCTGCAATGCGACCCTCGCCGCCAAGCACGAACCCATCCCAAACATAGCCCACTATGTTTTCATTCTTCGCGACCCGTCCGGCGATTTCTCCTTTCAGTTCAGTCACTTTCTAAGCATCTACTCAGCGTACCATCTCTGGCGCCCCGATAAAATATACCTTCACACAAATGTCGCTCCCGACAGCGATCCAATCACTCGAGCGAAGAGTGGTAGCACAGGGAAGTGGAATCAACTAATCTTCAACATCCCCAATCTCACCGTCAACAACATCACAGTCCCTACCCATGCTGGGAATGGAGTCGAGATCTCGGGGCTGGAACACAAGTCAGACTTTGTCAGGGTCAAGGCGGTGCACGACTTTGGGGGCACCTATGTCGATTTCGATGTCTTCCCACTCCGCGACCTCAAGCCTTTGCGAGAACGTGGCTTCGCCGCCGTCGGCGGACGACAGGAGGGAGGCGAACTGAACAGTGGCACCTTCATGGGTGTCGCGGGAAGTCGGGCGTTGACTGAATGGATGGAGGAGATGAACAGAGTTTACGATGGCGGCTGGACCACCCACAGCAACGCAGCTCTTACTGCCGTCGGGAATCGCCTGGCAAACGAACAGCCTTGTGAGCTACTCGCACTCAACCAAGCCGCCTTCGCCCCCGGGAGTTGGCTCTCGCACGACATCGACAATCTGTTCCACACCCACGAGGGTCCCCCAATCATACCTCCTGGTGGAAACTCGAGTATCCGCCAGGGGGTCCCTCTCGAGGAAGAAGATATCCCAGAAGACTTTGACGCTGATAAGTCACTGATGCCAAGCTGCGCCCGCGACTTCTCCTGCACATACCTGCTGCATGCCTTCAGCGGGAACAAGGCAAGGCACGGCGTTAGTCATAACAATATTGACCCTCAATATGTGTTGGATCTGCGCAGTAACTTTGCCAGGGCTGTGTATCCTGTTGCAAAACTTTTGTTTGACCAAAAGGTCATAACTTTAGACGATACTGATCTTGGAAAGTGATTTTCCTCTTTTTGGCGTAGCGAAGCGAATAGAATTAGACTAATACAATACCCAACTGCTATGTAACGTTTCTTCTCTCGCTCTTGTGGGTAGTGCCGCGGGCCATTCCTCTCGCTCTTGTGGCATCCAATGTTCGCTGTCATCCTGAAAGTGTGAATTTACCTAAGCCGCCAGTGTAAAGACATTTCCAAGAAAACTAGGGCAGCTGTGTCCCCATGATTTTAGAGAGCAAAGAGTGCCAATAAATCAATAGGAAGTGTGGTTCTGGTGGAAATATAGTCGTCTTATTATGCGAATTTCACATAATACATGGGATCCGTCAACTGGGAGATCCAAAAGGAGGTGACGCTGCTTAAACTCGTCAGTGATGATCCCAGATCAGCCTCATTTAGCGAATCTCTGTGCTACGGTTTCCCAATATCTACCGGTGTCTTAATGATAGCAACACGTAGCATTTGTTAACTAGACTTAAGGCAAGGAATAATAGTAAAATAGCCCCCTAAAATTGAATCATCATTCAGGATTTGTTTGATCAGTGAAGAAGGCAAAGATTGAGAGACACCAGTACAGTCGGTTTCCAAGTGCCAACCCCCGCCCCCCGGCTCCGGCCCGTGCCTTGACAGATCACGCCCACATACCGTTCCGCATTATTGATTCCATTTCAGGTATCCCACTTCAATGGTAGAGAAGTACCTTTGTTGTCATTTTCATTCGGTACTTTATTCGAGGTAATATATGAGCCGTACTTCCATGTTTCCAGTGGCCTCAAACCTCACAGCTCTATTACTCATGAGTTAATTTTGTGCTGTCGAATACGATTCCGTTGTTTCCTAATCCTCTCTCCTCGGCTAGCATTACAAAGGTATCGTCTAATTAAATTGTCTCTTTCAATAATTGCAGGCTGTTCGTGTCCGTCGCCCCATAATGCCCTTTCAGGCTGTTGACGCTATCTCCATGTGCGGCGCTGTTGGTAAGCAAATTGCCCCTGACAATTATTTTTCCATTATTTCGCTGGCTCACCAAAACGCTATAGAAAACACACGATGAATAGAATGTCGGTTTGGGATTTTCTGGATCCTCGGTTTGTTAATTGGATA